ACGTATGGACGGACGGGCGGACGTATGGACGGACGTATGGACGGACGTATGAATGGACATATGAACGTTGGATGTGTGGGTGGACAAGACCAGAGCTTTATTGACTTGAAACTCCTTCTTGACTTTAATGCAGTGAAGCTATACAATGTTATAAACATGTAGAAGTTCGACTATGAACCACGTAGTAATATAGTTGGCAAACGACTTGCACTGGTCCATGTGTTGTTTCAAAATTAGGTTGGAAACCATTGCTAGTAGGTTGGAGGCCGTCGCTCTTAATGTTTGCTTCATGTGACAGATGTGCCCGCAAGCAACCAGCGCGGCCGGGGTCCGCGGCTGCTGGGATCCGGTTCTGGGAAAGTGGGTCAGGTAAAGAATATTGATGTGAATATATAAATAATAGACATTAGGGCAGCAAGCAACCTAAAGCGGTAATAGCTTGTGTGCAAAAAAATACAAAGACAAGGCTCAAGACATCTACTGTAGCCAGAACATATATAAATGTAAAATATAACTGCAGGCCAGTAAGATGATTCAGTTGTCTTGCGGCATTTTGCCACCTTGCACGTAGCAATGCAGCTGTAACCGATGCCACCCAAGCAGAGAGCAGGCGGTCCCTTGGAAAAAAACAAAGGATATGATATGATATATAGTGACTGTTGAAAGTGTCATTTGTGGCATGACTTTGTGTCGCTGGCCACTAACCTTTATTGAGTACAGTAGCGGATATACAATTGGCATAGTACATGGTGGTGCAGTTTTGACAAGAGACTCTGAGACTCTGTGTAGTGTTTGTTATATAGTTGTCGGTGCTCACCATGATAGGTGGCGATAGGGGCGGTAGGCGATAGGCTGGCAGGCTAGGGTTCAGATCTAGATTGGCTCAGGTGTATTGGCAGACCCGAAGGCATCTAAGACAGTGTCTTTGGTCACGCGCCTTTGTCCTTGATTAGGGGCCGGTGGTTTTTGTTCATCAGCTGAATTGACACTTGTCAGCTCCGTGGATACCTCAGGTCTCTCGCGAAGACATTTCTGGCAGAACATGCGGTTCGCCAAAGGGACGTTGTAGTCGGGCAAAAGACTGCTGGATCTGGTTCCTACAAACGCTGGCTGCCATCAGCATTACTTCGAGCGTCGCAACTTGGCTTTAAGTCCTTGGCTTCCAGCATTCCAAACTATGGTAGAGATAGAGAAGGAGAAGCATGACAATAAACTTGTCAGTTGTCACAAATCAAATCAATTTTGAGGTGCTTCTGAATGGCGAACCATCATGAATCATGGTCAAGTTTCAAGTAGTTTTCTTTCTCTCATGAGCACCGATGCCCTCTCCTGTGTGGCTGAATGATGTTACCGTGCAGTGCAGAAATGACTTCAAACCATGGACTATAGACTAGACTGTAGATGACCACAGATGACTGTAGATGGCTGAGTCCAAATAGATCAATCAGAATTCAGAATGGTGAATTTTGCATTCATCTAATTCTGAATGATTCAACCCACTCTTGAACAGGCATCACATATTGATTTGTTGGTTCTTCTGTTCATGTTCATGTTGGACTAATTAAAATCTGAGGTTTGGTTGGTCATCTGCAAGCGCCTTCAAGGATATTCGACGGAGAGCTATAACATCTATGTCCTTGAGCAGCGTGGCTTACTGGCTACAAGGAACACCTGCCTGGATTGCGAAGGCTTTGCCGCGCAAAACGACAAGACAATACGTCAGCGTCGTAAAAACCTAAGATATAATAAGCAAAGCCGGGATACAGGATCCGGGATATGATGAGGATGATTTATTTATTAAATTCAATGAACTTTAATATAATGATGAATCTGTATTGATATGTTTGGCATACTGAAATACATACTGACATAGTGAGACATATATGACATACTGACAGACTGACTGTACTCTAGACAATGGCAGCCATGCGGTGAAACAATTCCGTCACTCAACTGCTTTGCTTGTTGTTGCTGACTTCAACGGAGGTGCAAGGAGCTGTTTCAAACTTCTTCATGTTGTGCCAGCAGACTTACTGCAAAGCTATCCTCAGGAATGATGCTTGGACTAAATAAATGTTGTGCAAATTGACAAACAGCCTGCAAAGAAAATAGGCATCAAAGCTATCTAAGCATCTAGTTTCATCTATCAGAAGAATTTTTCAACAACTGTTGTGATACACGCTATGCTATGGCGGTCGACTACAATAAATAAAGTAGAGGAATAGACTGCAATAATATTGAAAAAACATGTGCTGGTACGCATAACTTGACTCATGACTCATAAGTCGTAACTTATAACTTTATAACTATGACTATGACCTCATTGCCATAGTCTATATCTCTGCTTTCCGTGTAAAGCATTGCCTTATAAAGACCATTGCTGGCACGCTTTTGTGGCTGTGAAGGTAAAGGCTTGTTGCCCCTGCAAAACAATAAGGCTTGTCCGCTGGATGGTTCGCTGCGTGTGGGCAAGCTTCACCTGGAGTTTGATGAAACAAGCCAGATGCAAAGGGTGCGCTTCAAGACAGAGAGCACATCTCCGTCTTTTCTGTACTTGTGCCTTGTGCTTTTTATGAGACCATGTAATGGATAGTTAGTCTGCCTGCATATAGGCTTGCTGCATGCTGACTATAGGCTGTAGGGCCTCATAGCCTTTTTGGGTACAACATGGTTTCTGTCGCATTCCCACCCCCAATTCTGCTCTGTCTGTGGTTTGAAGAGGGGAGGTTTTCAGGGTTGCTCTATTCCAGACCATTGTGCAGCATGCAGCATGCCATGTATTTCCAGTGCAAGGTGCAAAGAACTACCCTTCTGGTGGCGCGCGGCTCTTGTCCAGCAAAGCAGCATGTTAGCACTTAACCACTTGCTCCTTGCTGTGCGTCAAGTTGTCTGATTGTTTTTCCAGAAAGGCTTTGGAAAACATGATCTTTAACTCACGATTTCGGAAGACATACATGTTACATATATGACATATCAATTCACATGTATCTGTAGTAGTGTGAGACAATGTTTGATAATTTTCTCCAAAGGAGTGGTTCATTCGTTTGTGCAATTCTGACAACATTAGCCCCGAGATGACACAAAACCGTGCCCGCTTGCTAGGTTCGCCACGCTGGTCACCTGCCCTGCAGCACTCAGACACACGCATGCCGGTGGTCTTTGGCAAGGGATTGTGGCAAAGCAGCCTGTGCACCCCATGAGAACCTGGTTTTTGCAGCCAGTACCAGTATTTACATTCATCTTAGACCTTCTATGTTGCTAACTTAGTGCAGTTGGAATAGTTGTTGTGACTGTGCAAACTCCAGCGTTCTTGTGAAAGCTGAGCAAGGATGGCATGCATGCTTTGATGTCTATGTTATGGGCTTCACAAGTGACGGGGCAGAGACCAATTTGAAGCTGATGCGCTGGGTGTCTAAGAACCTTCCTGCGAATGGCCTTTTTTCTGCACCACCTTTGTGCAATGTCGTTTGGTCAAACAGTTAATGAGGTTTCTTCTTGATAGTGTTTGCGTGTATTGATGGAGCTAGGTGAAGAAACTAGTGAAACTAGATGAAGAAAGTTTGAATGACTTGGGATTTGGAATGAACTATTTGAAGTGAAAAAGAATGTAAATAGTTCCAGGAAGGCAACTTGCAGATTGTCTCAGGCACGAATCTCATCACACGGTTGAAGCAGTTTTTCGTGGCCTCGGTGTCAACTCCCTGCCACTTGGACCGACACTGTATGCCGCGTGTTGAATTTGCAGCTACCTATCACAGATAACTTTATCGCCGCTATCAAACGCTACCAATCAGACAAACCAAACCAGGGGATAAAACTACTGTACTGTTTGATATCCGATATCGTATTGATATGATAACTTCCTAATGATGATGATTCAGCTGAGTTCATTTGAGTCATATCATATCAATTTAATATGATTGAATCATAATATGTTACATGTTTTTTTCAATCGAGGATTTTCTAAGGACAAAGTACATAGACTATCATTTAAGTTTCTATTCCTGTTACCTATACTTGCTCAGTGTTCTCGTTGTATTGAAGTGAACCACCAAGCTCGAGGTTTTGTTGCTCCAATGTCCTTGCGTATGGACAGACGTTTCTGGACATGACTCTTCATGTGGCGGCGTATATCAAAGCAAATCTCCAAATCGACTACACTGACCCAGATCCCGCTTGGAGAAAGTATGCAGAGACTATCATTGCGTGGACTCACTTGGACAGAAGTAGGCGCAGGGATGTGCCAGAAGGTGATTTTGCACAAGAAGCCAATGCTAGTGCCAGAAAACATCAAGAGCAGCTAGACCTTTTTTTGTGCATCTTCAACAGCAATTGGAAGCGAACTGGTCCTGGCTCTATCAAGCACCACTGCCGGCTTGGTTGCCCATGCGGGTGCCTCTCGCGGG